TTATAATATCACTCTCTATACATGTTATAATTTTCAATAAATAGTAACTCTTTTTTAAGCTATTTATAGACATGAGAATTTTTTTTCCATAAATGTTGATAAAAAATTATTTTTTAGATATACTTTTTTTTTTAAATTTAATAAGTTATTCTAGATAAATTGTTTTTATTTATGTGTTAATCACAAAAATTTACAAGCTGTAAATGATTTGAAGTAAACAATTTACACAACTTCAATTGTTATAGTTTAAGTTTGAATATTTTATAAATATATAGTCAGTGTAATAAGTATTTATTAATTATTAAGCATAATTAATGTTTAAATAGAAAGTTGTATCTTATTTGTATTTTGAAGAGGTTAAAATTAAAATTCTCAATATTTTTCTTAATAATTAAAGAAAAAACAAATAATTAAACTAAAACGTAAATTTCTAGAAAAAAATTAGTTTTTGACAAAAATTGTTTATGTTTTTTAGAGTAACTTATATTTTAAAACGAATAATGTGAAATTTTCACAAAATTTTCATGGTAACGTTTCCTACACGTAGTTTCAAAATTTTTTTTACTTACTTAGAGCTATTTATAGGCATATGATTTTTTTTTTTTTATAAATAACGATAAAAAAATTAATCATGTAGTCGACATTTATGAAAACCTAATAGAAGGTTCCTTTACAAGTTGTTCATTTGTCGATTAAAAATGTTGAAAAATAATGTATACATCTTTAAAAAAAAAGTATTTAAATTTAAATGTTCACAAAATTTGTCATAATCTTGAAAATTTTTTAATTATTTTTTAGCTAGAAATTTATAAAAAAATGTAATTTTATATCTAAAAGTCTAAAAATTACTATAAATTGTAATTTAGATTCCCACATAAGTTGTTTTTATATCCATATAAATATTATAAAAATACATAGGAACAATATTATTTTATATGCATTTTAAGTTTACATTTTTAAAGAATCATTAAAACCACAAATTTCGTAGTAAAATATCCATAAAATCTTCAATTTGCATTTTAGCTAAGATTTTTTTATATTAAAAATTACGTATTTTAATAACAAAAAGCGATGTAGGTACCTAAGTAAATTATTTTATTTTTTTCTATTTCATTGACTTTATTATTTTTTGTATACAATTATACACATCAATAAATTAAAATTTAACACGTACGTTACAATGACCGACTCGACAACTAATATATACCTAGTAAATATATCCACTTGCTCACTTTTTTTTATTACTTAAGTACTTGACACAATGGTCAGCACTCAGTATTCTATGACATGGGTACGTTTAACAATTTTAATGAAAATAAAATATCGGAATAGGTAACCGACATAATTAGCCCTATGCAATATCTATAACTGGTATAAGTTATAGAAGATTATATTTTGCTGATATAGGTATTTATCTACTGCTGTAGCTATGGCTTATAGGTAGGTTGTGTTTATTTTTGTATCTTGGTATAATATATACAATATTATAATATGATTAGAATTTTTACTGAAAAAAAAAAATTATTTATGAAAATTAATTAGCATTGAATTTTATCATAAAAAATGTATTTGTTTTATATCTAGGTTACTATATAACTGTGATTATTGTGTTCAGGGATGGAAAAAACACGTAAATCCTATTATACCTGTTTATATTTAATTATTTTAATTCATCTTATATACCCGACTTAATTATAGATCAATGTATTTATTAAAATGATAATGTTTTATTATTATTAAGTCTTAAGTATAATTTACCTATACATATTATAATATAATAATAATTATATTATATTAAAATATGTTAAAGACAAGTACGATTTAGGTCATTGTACAAAAATTTCGGTCAATATGCCAAGAAAATATTGGTAATTTCTTAACAAGTTCTCTAGGGTTCAGAAATAAAAACACATTTAATTTTAAATTTTAACAAACACATTTTATAACTATAGCTAATAGCTAGCTAACGTATATATATAGTATCTACTCATCAAACTTCAGTTCACCTTGTCACCTTGACCTATATATACCTCTGACTAAGTGTATATTATTATAATTGCAGCAAACAATTAGGTATTATTTATTGAAAACATTTTAGCAAAATAGTTTAATTAATATAAATTGTACACTAAACATTTATAACATTATAATAATATTTAAATATTCAACTGTTTTTATTTTTATATTGATATATATAATAATAAATACTAACTATGGATATGCCTTCGCAATGATTAAATAATTAAATAGTAAATATTACTTATCTAATAAAAATTACTCATATCGGCTATATATGTATATATATAGCTGCTAATGTAATGCAATTATTTAAATTTAAGCTATACAATTTTAAATTAAACATGATTGATTGATTAAATTTTAATTAAATTATATTGTCGTGTAATTATCATTAATATCATCTAGTTGTTGTTTTTTTTTTTAAATAAAGAACATTTGTGTTTCGTCTATATTTAGGCAGATGATTGTGATAGATAAATATTGCGTAAAATAAACTGTCCGATTATTTAAAAGATAGAATTAACTACTAATGTCTACCTACTATAATTATATAATTGACAATTGTTAAACGTTATAAAAGAACTGTGCACTTTGCCAGACATTTCGGACGTGAACTTTTTTTTTAACAATTAGATCGTTCCAAGTTAAAATGGTGTTCGACTGATTTGAAAAATATATTTACCTATAGAGTTATCTAAAGCAAAGGTACCTAATTGAAATATAATATACCTACATTAAATTTTATTCAAAACATAATGCATAATTTATATTTTTTACAATTAATAAAGTGTACTTTCCATCTTAAACTTGTTTAGTTCTAAAGTGTTAGCAGTGTAATAATAATAAAGTTATTCATATGTACTGTTTTAAATTTCTAACCTTTTATTAATAAATAAATATCCAGTTTTTGAAAATTCTAATTATAGCAATATGTTGAAAATTTGTATTAAAATAATAACATTTTTTAAGTTTTTACCGTTTAAGAACGATAACTAGTTACTTACTTAAATTGTACTCATGAAGTTTGAAAATCTTTAAAACATGGCTAAATTAATAGGTATTTTTGGATAACTTAAGGGGGTTTTTATATTATTTTAATTTGTGCATTCAAATAATTACCTACACACTTTAATAGCATATTTAACGAATATTACAAATATAACCACATAAATATAATATCTTGTATCACACCAACTACTAACATAGGTAATACTAATGTTTTATGTACTTTATTACAATCGGTGGATAATTATCATTTTCTCTTTAGTATGGAGATAATATAATTATTTCAATATTAATCTTTGCGTTTACGCTTTACATTAGATTAATTGTATGAATTCATATTTCTAAACCAACGTCAATTTTTCAAATTGGTTGTGAAAAACAAAGGAGATTATATGCATGTTCAACAAATTAAAATAAGAAATTGTTTAATTTTTAAAATGTTCACCACCTAAAAATGTAGAGGTGTAGTTGACATTGACTGGATTTCTGGAACCTATACATGACTGAAATAAATGTTAGAGCAAACAATTGACATAACAAAATAATTACTTTTAATTTATGAATTAAATTAATTAATATTTAAGTAATTTTTGTTGCATTAGCATCAGTAATTATAGACATTACATGTTATATATTGAAAAAGAACTAGAGAAATCATAAATTTAGGATTATAGATAGGTACTTAGACTTTATAAATAATTACTTTTGTTCTAGGCTTATTTTGTAATCAAATAAAAAAAAAGAGTATAGAATAAAAAATAACAATGTTCTGTATTCTAGTGCAAATCATATATATAATATAGGTTTCTTAATTATACTATAAAGGTACATGACAAAACATCAAAAGGTTAACTAATTAGTTTTCAGAGAACTGAAGACAACACTAATCTAAGAAGCTAGTGTTCATACTTTTTAGTTACTTGTATTTTAAGATAAATAATCTATATAATGAAAAAAAAAAATTGTTACAATCACATTTTTTACTAATGTTTATACAAATTTATTATTATCGTAGAAAAAAAGTTTTGTAATCAATCCATATTTTGAGTGACCGTCGAGATTTTCTCAATAGCTTTTTGCCCAATCTGGGTATCTAGTATTCATATTTTGTTTTAAATAGATTTAAGTCAGAAATAATTTCAGAACCTAGATACTTATGTAGTTTAATTTTTACAATGTGCAATACAATTGTATATAAACACTTCAAACTTACTTTAATCAGATGTTTGTAAATAGTATTCTTTATATATTCTAGAATTAGGTAACAAATATAATCTCAATCATAAGAATTCTTAAGCATTTAAAAATAATTTGTATTCATATTTTAAACACAATTATTTAGATATATGTGATAATTAATTAAAGAATTCTAATTAATGTAACTTATATTGTATAATTAAATTAATATGAATATTATCAATTATAACTAGAGACATAAAATAACATATTATATAACTATAACATACATACATACATAAATAGAAGATGATTTATTTTTTAATCCAATGTTAATTCTTAAATCATGCATTTATGTATGTTACACATTTCTTTAATTTTAGAATGATTGTCTCAAATAAAATATTTTGTTTTACCCCCCCCCCCGCCATGTTCAAATTTAGAAACATTTATAATACACACCTATCAAACATAATTGACAAGATTTTACAATATTTTTTCTGCATATTTTATATTTAAGACCACATTAACATCTTACACTTCATAAAAGAATATTTAATTTTATTAAAAGTTAGGAATCAATAAACTAAAGATAGAATAAAAATTTAATAGTTAATGAATTTATTTAATAAAATACAAACTATAAAATAGACTGATAAAATATGTCATAAGATAAGACTCGGTACAAACACATTTGTGGATAATAATTTTAAAAAATTTTACATTTCAGTAATAATTTATTTAAATGTTATATTAATAAAATCATATAAGTTAAATATGTATGAAAATATTTGATGTATCTTGCATGTATTTTTTTAAATTAATTGAGTACTTATATATTTTTATCAACATTTATTGGTAACTATGTATTGATATAGTAAGAAAACAAGAATCAGAAAATAAAAAAAAGGCTGAGTTTGAAATAGAATTTTAGAACCTAGGATATTTTTTTTAACTAGATAGAGGTACAATATTTTTTTGTTTTAGTTCATAACCCTTAGGCATTTTATATTATATATTTAACAATTTTGCAATGCAGTAATCCAATTAAAATCCAAATATTTATAGTACTAATAATCCATATTATAGTGCAGTCTCAAATTTTTTATGGCATACAGTTTTAAGCTCAAGTCAAAAGACAGTTGAAATTAAGATACAAGGTAAAAAATTTTCTTCATACTTAATAATTGGAAAACAATTATACATCTTCTGTTTTAAAATCTATGTCAAATTAATTTGGATTTATTTTTTTTTATCTTTAGTTTGTTTTTATGGTGTATTACTTTGGCAGATGACATAGTTTCAGATTCTGACTTTGATGCCTCTAGAAGATTTAAGCAGATATGAGGTTCTGGTATCACAGAAGTGTTCTTAGGTTTTACTGTAATAATTTATATTAATTTAATTAATAAACATATATGTTTGTATTGATATAGTATTAACCTGTTTGTAACTTCTCCAATTCAATTATTTTCTTTTTAAGTCCTATGATTTCTTGTCTCATTTTAAACATAGTAATAGCATTATTTTCTTCTTGAACTAGTTGGAATAACATATTAACTTTTGCTTGATAATATTTTTTTAATTCCATGATTTTTTTTTCAACTGACAAATGGAATTCTTGATAATTGTTGTTTAAAGATACAATAGTATGCCTTTGTTTATCATTTATTGCCTAAAATTGTATTATGTTTATAATTATTAAAAAGAAAAACTAACTTGACTGCATATGAAAAAATACACGTTTGATAATACATAATATACTCACATCAAGTTTGGATATTATTTCATCATTTTCTCGTCCAGATTCCTTTAAATCCACTACTTTGATAAAATAATGTACCAACATTTTTTTCAGTTCATCTGTACTTAATGTTGATAGACACTTCCAAAAAACTTTTGTTTCATTTGAATTCTGTAAATAAATAATATTTATATGCATATTACATAATATTTAAAAAAAAAATACTTTAGTGATCCTATATTATAATAATGCATTATAATTTTTGTATTACCGTTTGAATAAAATTTAATAAATTTGTATTATTATTGCACATATTATTTTTTAATTCAATTAAATAATCTACTGAATCAATTGCTTCATCGTTTTCTAAATATTTTCGAATATCTTCTTTGAATACAATATTTTCCTTGAAAACATAAGTATAATCAGGAAGTTAGTTAATTAAGCTTTTAAATTGACATTTACATAACAATTCAATAAAAAATAATAATATATTAATTAAATTTGCTTTAAACTTCAATTATTAATAGTAATTAAATATTAATTAATATCATTTTTTTTTTCATTTAGTTATGGATTAATTTATTTTTCATGTTAATAAAATAAATAAACTTAAAATTTTATTGAATAAAAATCCTCATAAAACCTTTTGATATTTAGTATTAAACATTCCTTTAGGACGTGAGCTTAAAATTTCATTTCTCATATTTTGTAAGTCCAAAAATTCTTTTTTTAAATTATCATTTCCAATTAAATTTGATGACATGTGGACTCTACTTTTTTCTATGCTTGATAAAACCTAAAATTGCATAAAATATATAAAATATTTTTAAATTAATTACATAAACCTATAAAACAAGTTATTTTACTTACACCCAAACTAGATAAATTATTTTTCAATTGATTAATTCTCTTTTCATTTTGTTTTAATAATAATGAAACTTCTTGTTTATTTTTTATTTGGTTATTTAATTGATCATTAAATATTTTTAAGCGATCATTAGAAGTTTGTAAAGAAATTTGATATTGCAGCAATCTAAAATAAAATATTAATTAATATTTGTTGAGAACAATTTACAATTTATATACAAAAATACTTCTCTGCACTATCACTAGCTATTTTTATAATATCATCCATTTTTTTAATTTTATCTTCATATCGTAATAGCCTATTATTTGTTTGCTCTCCGTAATCAATATCTTTACTAGTTTCATTACCATAATTTGATTTTGTCATCTTATTTGACTTTTTTAATTGGCTTAAAATTTTAATATATTTTTTGTTTATTTTATTGTACTCTTTTTGAACCTTTTTTTTTGCATTACATCTGATTTCTGTAAAGCTGGCAATTTCGCTAATAAAATTTTTCTAAAATAAATTAAATTTTAGTAAATTATATAATTATACATTATAAAAATTAATATTTTATCATATTATAAAAATGATTACCTTTATTGATATAATATCTTCTAAGTGTTTAATATTTTTTTTTAATCCATCCTCGTTAATAGTAATTATACTCAATTCTTTTCTTTTTAAATTTACTTCTGTTGTTAATTTTTTTAATTCTTCTCGTAGCTTATAAACATAATCTAAACTATTGTTACTATTAATACAATCTACTAAAATTTGTTGGCTAGAATTAAATTCAGAATCTAAAAATTATAAAAATTAATTAAAATCAATTAAAATGTATCTAACAATTAACTTTTTAATGAACAATGATGTTTATATATGTTTCATAAATTGTTGGCATACGGCGCATTGACAAATATATATATATATATATATATACTTTATTACTTCAACATTTTAATTTTTTTCAATATTTTGCTTCTCCGAAAATTATGTTAAATAAAACGTTTATATTTTAATAAAATTGTAAATTAAAAAGTTTAAGACCCATGTTATATCATTGTTTTAATAAAACAATAATAGTGTAAAATTACAAATTATATAATAGAAGAAAGTGTGCAGAAACAGAATGGGTTATCTTTGTGTTATTAAGAAACTCTCGATTGGCCAAGTATTAATAATGAAACCATGGTCGCAGTCCTCATAGCAACAATGGATAGGTTTCTTAAATATTTTTCTCAGAGTGAGCATTATAAAGCAACATAGCAAAAGCCAATATTAATAATAAATACTTTTTATAAGTGTAATAAAAACTGAAAGTTAACAAAGAACTTTTGTAAATTATAGTATATATTATGTAATAATTTTCATTGTACACAAGAAAACAATGATTTAAATTAGAAAATACATTAATATAATATAATAATTAATAATTAATTTTACATTTAGGGCTTTAAAGCCTGTATTTAATTATATTCAAAAAAAGTAAGTTAGGTAATGCATTTCATAAATATAATATTAGTTTAGGAAAAAAGATTTAAATTTGAATACTATAATAATTATTGCCTAATATTATGATAAATATAGTAAAATTGTGGCCTATTATTATAACCTAGTGCTATCGCTTGTATATATTTCAGGCTGGTCTGAAACCCTAATTTATCCTTAAACATAAATAATTACTTTAGTTAAAGAAAGAACAAATAGATATCTAATAGATAAATTTTTAATTTAAATTAATTATTTTAAACTTACAAGCAACAAAATTATAAGTAATTTCTATTAATTAATGATATAAACATGTACCTATTCATAAATCTATTATCTAATTATCATAAAGACTAGTGTAGTATTATACTATTATTATTATTATTATTATTATAACTCAGTTTAATGATTCGCATAAACTTATGAATAAACATAAACAATATATATATATGTATAAAGGTTCATGAATTAAGCATAAAATAAAAAGATAATCAATAATGTATTCTATGTTGTAAGAAAATAAGTACTGAATATTGTTATTAATGAAGGTACTTGAAATGCATTTATAAATTAAAGATTTTTCTTTTACTTAAGTTACATAACCAATATATTTATGCTATTTAGTTAAAATATTTTGAATAACACTCACCATCAATATTATGATTCAATTCGTCAGGTAACTGAGTGATACTTGTTCTAATAACATAATCAAACCGAAAATTTATATACTTGTTATACGTGTTAAGTACACTTATTAACTTTTGATCAAATTTTATTTCATTTATGACAATGTTGATGTCTACACCCGGTTTTACTCTACCAAACGGATTTCGAAATGGTAACGGTTTTAGATTTTTGATGAGTAGGTCTGAGGTTGAATTCATTGTAAATTTTTGAATAATCGTTCAGAATTTTTGACACCATATAAATACGTATTAAAAATGGTAGTATTATTAATAGAAGTAGTAGTAGTAGTAATAACTAGTAATAGTTTAAACACAAAACATCATTAAGTGTATAAACAAAATACTAAAATGATTATTACAACAATGTAAACAATAATATTATTATATAAGAAATTAGCGTAAAGGTATAATCATTAATCATAAATGCTTATCACGGTGATTTCCCGTTATCGTTAACAGCAATCAGAAACGTCCGTTAATCTGCTATTCACTACCGTCTTTCCGTTTACGTTTGTCGGCACCGCCGCGCAAATTATTACGCATAATATAATATATTATTATAATGAATCGTTGTGAGTTGTGATCACTGTCTGGTCGAATTTTAATCCGTCATCACTCATCAATATCAAGAAAAAATACGTACGTGATTAAATACAGCTGCAATCGCGTTTTTTTCTTACAATCGAACTCGCATAATATAACATAATTTATAGGTGTCTACCGTCTGGCGTCTGCGGTTTACCGCCTGCGGTTCGGGGATCACCCATACAGGACACGTGCGGGTTGTCTAGACCAGGGGTGGCCAAACCTTAACTGACAGAGTTTGGGTTATGTGATAAATAATAATAATATTTGTTATTACAAATTTGAAATTACGACCGAAAATAGTTAAATAACTGCACAAATCTTTCACCGATAATTAAAAAAAAAAAAAATAAAGAGCCAAAATACTAAAGACCATTGTAATGGATGTATTAAATTATACAAATTGTAAATCAATGAATAATCATTACGTACGAAAAACGATTCTGAATAAAGATGGTCCATCAGTGCATATTTCTAAGGGTAGGTATTTTATTTTATATTTTTTATTGCTTATGTAGGTAGTTAATGAAGGTATTATTTTGTATATTGACATATATTTATTTTTACAAATATAATCTAAGAGTACCTGACGGCTGACATGCTTACACTTGTATTTTACATCATAAAAAAAAAATGTTTTTAAATAATTAAGAGTGTAATGTAATATAAATACAGGTATTAGAATATAATATCGAAAATATACATGCAAAGGCACAAATTTTTATCATAATATTTGAAGTTAACATTTCGACAAAATTGCATATATAAACAAAAAAAAACTATTCCCCCTCTAACGTCTTTACGAGTTAAGTTATTTTATTTTAATAGAAAAATATTAATTAAAGGGACTTGGCTCTTATTGCCAATACATACACTGAATGAAAAATACCAGTAATTTTGACAAAAATATAGATTACATTAATAATGTCATTGTTAATATTGAATCAACAAAATGCTTGCTTATTGATACTATGATAAAATATTTGTTTAAAATAAAAATCAACTAATTATTTGATTTAATAATATTTTGTTTAGTTAAACTTACATATTTTATCGAAATTTTGTTAAACTAACTTTGAATTTTGTTAATTTTATCAAATACATTATTAATTTAACGTATATATTATATTACTGAATTTATAAAAATAAAATGATTTTAACAAAATGGTTATTATTGAATGTAACTAAAATATACTTAATAGTTAATTTAATAATAACGATAATGATTTAATAATTTATTGATGACAAAAATATCAAATAATTAATAACATTTAAATAAATAATTAAATAATTGAAATAAAAATGTAAAAAAGGTGAACGCGATGTTATTTTAAGAGCCGCCCGAACTTCCGCTAAAGCGGAATTCGTTCATGCTATCGTCTGCTTGCCTAACTCTGGGAATTGACTACCGTTTGAATTTAAAAGTGGTGCCGAATCTCGAACATTTAATCCGTTTTAGAGTAGCAACGAATATTACATTAAACGTTGTTTGATCAATGTAAATTTTACAATTCATAATATGTTATGAAACCTAAAAAAAATTAAATTAAATTGCATTTTGTCGATTAGTGTGCTTCTGATGTATTTATCTACATTATTTGTATATATCTTCATGATATATAAGTTCATCACATATATTACATGTATATACCTATATATATAATATATATGTATAATATCATACCTCACTTGATCAATATAATTTCACATTTTAATCAAAATACATAATAGCAAGGTTTCATAATGCATTTTGTATTCATACATAGTATATTAAATTTATTTATTGTGTTTAATAATTATTAATTAGGTATTTATTTGATAATATAAAACTGTATGATTAATTAAATCTACACAAAAATTGATATCCTGTAGAATTATACTTAATTATTTAATATAATATGTGATACTGTAGACTACTAGACTATATAAATCATACTCTAACTCATTTTTTTTATTTATATTTAATAATATTATGTTTAATTTATTGTTAATAATAAATATTTGTTTGGTTAATTCACTAAATATATTTTGTAATTTGTACAAAATAATATTTGATTAAATTAATTAAATTTATTGTATAAAATTAACAAAAACCAATGTTGATTTAAAAATGCTTTTTAATAAATTAAATAAACTGTCTATTAATCAGTGGCGGCGCGTTAGGGTAGACAATGAGACATAGTCTACCCAAAAATCCCAAAAATATAAAACAATTTAATTAAAAAAATTAGTTATTTATTATATGATACTATACCTACTATATAAGTATTTTATTTGTTCATAATTTTATAAATAAAATGTTATTTACACTGATTCGTCTCTACAATGTCTGTGTGAGTAACGACTAACGAGTATGACTAAATAATAAATATATATAGTATAATTTTATTTATATCTTATCAATAATTATGTAATCGCTCCGTTGTCGCCGTCAAATCGGTCGAGACATATTGAATTGTGTCTCACTATTGATGACGAGGGCTTATGACATGGTAAACGGGGACGTAGTGGGGTATTACCAAAATTATATGCATGGACGAGACATGTCTCAACGTAATATTTTAGTAATTTAATTGCACATTTGCATTCCGATTGTGGTTAATGGCACACGTTTAATGTTTATCATTTTTTCTTAATGAAGTGATATACATTTAAAACTTAATATGTCAGATATTATTGATATTATTTTAAATAAAGGTCTTGGTTCTTTTTCGCAACAAAACAAAATCGGCGAATTAATTTAAATTATATTCAAATATAGTTATTTTATGTAATTTACTTTTTTTTATGATGATCTAATTTTTAAATAAATTTTATATAACACCATATTATCTTTGGTTGTCTTGTTGTCTACCCTACGAAATTGTTCACGCGCCGCCACTGCTATTAATTCAATTTATTTCTTTTTTAAATTAATGTAAGTGTATATAATTAATTTTACTGATAGTAATTGTTGATTTTACCTATAAACTTTCTTAATTCAATAATATATTTTTCAAATTGAAATAATAATTGTTGTTTTAACATATTACCATTTATTAATAAATGAAAATTAAGCATTATTGAATTTACAAATGAGTTTTTGTTCAGTGTACCTATTAATTACTATTATTTTATATATACAATTAACTATTAAAAATATTTAGAATAACTAGGTTAGGTATTTTTACCTTGGTTAATATTGACTTATAAGTTATAAATTAATAATTTATTAGCATTATAGAGGTAAGTAGGTACTTAAGTTTAGGCATATTAGGTTTGTATAGCTTTTTATATTATTATCTTATATCATTTTCCTTCATATGAACTTTTTCGGTTATTACAGTTATTAAAAAAATTAATTGACTACGTATTTCGATCAAAGGTAGCTTAGGTACCTACTATAATTTATAATATAATATTATTACATGAACAGGACTGCTTGATTTATATCTTATATAAAGTTAGTCTAGTAGGACTAACAAGTTCCTATTCTAGTCCATGTCCTAATAGGCTTACAAGATATTATAACATTGATGATTTGAAAATAATATTAAATTAGGTAGGTAAAATTTGATGCATAACTAGGAAAAATATATCTAATTATAAATATTTATTATAAGAAAATAAGTGCCTAGAAACTAAACTAAATAAATAACCATCCATTTCATATTTTATGCAAAACCATTAAGTGTACAATTAGTATCCGTTGTTAGTGTATAAAAAATTTAATAATTCAGAAATTACTTTCAGATCTCAAAAATAATACACTTGCAACCGGGAGCTGACTAACACTCTTCAATTTTATTATGGGTTGGTACTTTTCATTTATTTACGGTAAAATTTACAAAATTATTTATTAAAGAGACATTTTAATGACTGATATTTATTGCTGAAGTTCAATAAATTAAAATAAAAAGTTAACTATGCTCTTTTTATTTTTAATTATTAATTGAACTTAATTTTAACTCCTTCCTAATATTACAAACATATTTTAGGGCAGTCAGTAAGTACATTCTCTAGATTTCCTATTACGGTGATTTGTTCTATTGCTTCTTTTAAAATACTGGCCAATGCGTCAATTGGTTTTTGCATGATCGAAGACATCTAATAATAAAAATAAAGTTAAATAAAAATTCGGAATTTATCAAAAACAACCATGTAAGTTATAGTATTTACAAGATTTAATTGATCGTTTTCAAAACAAGAATATGCCTCAATTTTAGATATTTGGTTTTGAAGTTTATCGATGGTATTAAAGTATTCTTCAGCTGGTGCTTTTAAAATACGACGTAAATCACTTATTTTTAACTTTGTTTCGGATTTTATCTTGGTTAGCATAGATTTTTGTTGATATTTATATGTTTTTATCTCATCACAGCAACGAAGATTTTCCGCTAAAATATTTTCCAATTTTACTTGTTTGATCCTATTAAATAGGTAATTTATAAATTTATATATTATTAGATATAGTAATTATATATAATTCTAGGTGCGTTAAAATAATTTCACTATTTTTTTTTTTTATGATAAGTATAACTAATACGAGCAATGTTACAAAATAATCTTAAAAGAAACAATGAATTTTAATTTCATCTGAGGTTGATGTCTCTTAAATAATATTTATAATATTT